AGTGAGCCAAACCAGCCAGGGCAGTGATGCTGGCCTTTTAAGAGGAGCAGCTGGGTCTCCAGCAGCCTGTGTGTCACTCAGCCCCAATCCACACTGGTTTTTACAGCCTGTAGTTCTTACTGTCCGTAGGGACTTCTTTCCCCAGCTCTGGGACCCTTGACTAGGGGTCTGGTGTGGGGCTGGGACACCTTGCTCCTCCAGGAGGCCTCCACAGAGGTGATCTCCCTCCTAATTAAAAAAGCAGCCCACGTGGGTGCTGGACCAGCCTGTCCTGCACCTCCCCACCTCCTACCAGTCTCAGTGTGCTTTCTTCTTTACTTCTCTAATTGTAGGACTTCCATTCAGCTAGCTTTCCAGTGGTTCTGGATGATGGTTGTTCTGTATTTTAGTTGTAATTTTGATGTGGTTGTGGGAGATGGTGAGTACAGGCATTTACCTATGCTACCATCTTGGTTCTCCAGAACTCATGTACTCTTGGCAAGATTTAGTCAAGTGAAAGATGTGCATACCCTTGGACCCTGAAAGTGTACTTCTAGTTATCCTCAGAGCAACTCTCTTACATGTGACCAAGGAGATAATATTTACAGCAGCACTGATTACAATGGTAAAAAATTGGAAACAGCCTACATTAGATCAAGAGAAGAATTCATAAGCAATTTGTGATCAATTTATACAATGGATATAGCCATGGAAATAAATTAAAAAGATCTAGCCCAGCTGGTGTGGCTCAGTGGTTGAGCATCGACCAAGGTTCGATTCCCAGTCAGGGCACATGCCCTGCTGCAGACTCAATCCCCAGTGGGGGGCGTGCAGGAAGCAGCCAATCAAGGATTCTGTCTCATCATTGATGTTTCTATCTCTCTCTCCCTCTCCCTTCCTGTCTGAAATCAATAAAAATATATTTTAAAAAATGATCTACATACCTTTCATGGAAGAATCTTATAAATATGATGCAAAAAAACATGTTGCAGATGAATATGTAAAATATGATGCAATTTTTATCCAGGTTGAAAACTTGCAAGTACTGTTGTTGTATGGGAAATTACCTTGCTGCAACAGAAGCCTGTAAGTATAATAACAGGCAGGCTATCCAAGAGATCACAGAAAAGCTTACAGACCAAAACGATGTGCTTAAATCACATGGTTTATTAACTCAATTGAAAACACACGGCAAGAAGCAAGGTGAAAGAGACGGGCTAGGTTAACACCTGTAAGACGTGGTGTACGCAGGATGAAAGATGGCACTGCCTGAGTCCTCAGTCCTGTCTCTCTTCCTTGATAAGGGTTTGCTTGCAAGGACCAGAATGGATATTTAAGCAAAGTGGCCCAACATGTAGAAGGTGCCTAGGGTCAAAACATAGTTACTCTATAGGCTTTCGAGAAAGTGCATTACTTACCAATTAGCCCCATGAACACCTATGGGTTTTCTTTGGCATTCCTTGTGCAGAGGATGTGAGGACCCAATATTTGGCCCAATTAAGACCTCATAATTAGTGAATGCCTATAATTCTCAGGTATCTTTGGTGTGTCATGAATATTTGATGATTCACAGCCTCATACATATTTAGTGTATCATGACTACTAGGTGTCTCTTGCTCTTCCCATCTCTTTCTAATTATGTTCATTGCTCTACTTACTTTATCTATGGCTAACATATCTCAGTGGTTATCAACTTATTCTCTTTTTTTAATCTATTTTTATTGATTTCAGAGAGGAAGGGAAAGGGAAAGAGAGATAGGAACGTCAATGATAACAGAGAATCATTGATCAGCTGCCTCCTGCACGCCCCACACTGGGGATCAGCCTGCAACCAGGCATGTGCTCTGATCAGAAATTGAACTGTGACCTCCTGGTTCATAGGTTGATGCTCAACCACTGAGCCACACTGGCCGGGCAACTTACTTATTCTTATTAACATGTCGTATGGATTTTGCCTGTTTCTATTTTCTTTGATTCGTAATTTCATTTTTTCTCCTTATATATTTATTTCCCTTAGCAGAATTGAATTTTTAAAATAATTCAGGAAACACAAAGTATAAATGCATGTGTCATATGGTTTCAATATAAAATAAATACTTGGAAAGAGTCATTCCCAAGTTCAGGATTTGACTCACAATGGTGGCGAGGGAAAGAGATATGTTCAGGAAGGGCTTCATGGGGCTTTAATTATATTGGCAGTGTTTTCTTTCTTAATATGGATAGTGGGTGTATGGGTATTATATGATTTATAATATTTTATATCTGAACTTTTTCCAAATAAATTTAAGAAAAGTTTGAAATAAATACCTGGTATCTTACATGTAATAGGCACTGATACTCATTATTTTGATTTTAAAGAATGTGACTGGGCTAACTAAATTGATACATCATCTTTCTATTGCTGGTGCATACATATATTTTTCAACAAATATTTACTGGGTACGTATTATTTGCAAGGAAGGCATTGCACCAGTTAGCATGGAGGATGAGAAGTTGAGTAAAACAAAATTCATACTTTCAAGTAAGAATTACTTTCAAGCCTGCGGGTTAGTCGGGGCTTGAGACGACTACAAAAATATGAACAATACAAGGACATAATAACAGAAGTGCTTTTAGAGAGCTACAGCTTGTGGTCAGAGTGGGTGGAGCTTCACCCTTTGGAGCGAAGGATGCATTCAGAACTTCACCTGTAAGAGAGAAGTACATGTAATCTGGGCCGTGGAGGGAAAAAGCAACAGGCAAATAGAGTGAGGAAAGCATTCCAGGAGAAGGAAGCACAGTGGACAGAGAAAGGAGGGTTTGTTCGGAGAGCAGCTGCTTGTCCAAGTTGTTGTGTCAAGGGTGAGTACGGGAGAGCAGTGCAAGAGGGGTTCAGGGAGGTAAGTTAGGACAAGAATCCTTCCACCCAACATCTGTGGTTGGGATTATGGATAATTTAAATTTTTCTATTTGTAATATTCAACATAGTCTACAGTGACCACAATGACCACATATTACAGTGACCACAAAACGGATCCCTGATGAAGTGGTTGGGTATTGTGAGTATGGCACTCTGACCATCTGTAAAGGCAGGGACAAGCAGTATCCCTGCTGTGTTTGAGATTATGAGGGTAGCCTGACCGAAGCCCATCATCCGAGAACAGCAATGAAGCCCTAAAATGAAATTACCTTTCGGAATGGGTTGGTGTTCTGGCAGGAACGTAAGAGCCTAGACGTTCTTGGAGGAAGCACGGCACACAGCTAAGCTGGAAGCTCTTGGGGTCCCAGCCACCTTGGCCCAGTGCTGTGCCTTCGGGGGAAATGGTGACTATCGTTGAGTATGTGAGGGACTTGGAGAGAGCTCTAATTGCAGACCCCAGGTCAGCCCTTCCCCACCCTCCACCCCCCAGGGCAGGGGCCAGAACCAAGAAGGGCACTACCACAGCATGGGCTGTGCCCAGTGAAAGAGTCTAGATCAGTGGTCGGCAAACTCATTAGTCAACAGAGCCAAATATCAACAGTACAACGATTGAAATTTCTTTTGAGAGCCAAATTTTTTTAAACTTAAACTATATAGGTAGGTACATTGTTATTAACTTAATTAGGGTCCTCCTAAGGCTTAGGAGGAGCCACACTCAAGGGGCCAAAGAGCCACATGTGGCTCGCGAGCCGCAGTTTGCCGACCACGGGTCTAGACCTTTTCTCTCTAGGTCAGTTCCTCTAGACCTGGCACTGGAAACACAGCTCACTCTGTCCCCTTTGGACTGAGACCCAGGGGTCTTCAGACAATTCGGGGAGAATCTATATTAGACTTCCTGTCAATAGGGCAAGTACAGATCTAAGAAATTAATTCTAAAAATGAAAATTATGACTATAGCAATAAAATGTTTTTGTGAATTAGGTCATACACTATTGGTCTATATTATCCAAACATTCTAAAATAAATGTGTTAATTTATATTCAGATAAAGTTACTTTTATAAGTCCTATTCCAAATACCAAGTTTCTTAAAAGCACAATATATGATCTTTGGTGCATAATCAATATAAAAGTAGCAAAAATATTAATATACAGATTTCCGTGCACTAACCTTATAAAATCAACTTGGTATTATAACTGACCTTTGACTGCCTCAATAAGGCTTGTTTCCCTGACAAAAAGGACTTTGCCATATTCTCCGTGTAGACAGCCTGGCTCAGCGTAGTCATATCAAAATTGTGTGACCTGATCCACACAACCAGAGGAGGGCAGTTAAATTGTGTGCAAGTCGCCTGGTTGGGTATGTAAGTGTCTTGGAAGACACTGTTTCTTTCTCACCCAACATCTTTGAAAGAATTTAAGTCAGTCAGACCTTTAAAATTCTTGAGATTTGTGTAGTTGACCATCATGCTTGGCCTCTTGAAACATTAAACCAATAAGATGTGCCAAGGAGTGTTATCATTTTGTAGTCAGCACTGAGGTTCTCATTGGGAGTGATGCTGAGGAAGACTGGATTCTTTCACCAGCTACATCGGGGAATATGGTCCATTCTACTTCCCCAACTTCCCCCCTACACTGAAAGCCCCCGGGAGGCAGGGGACGTGTTCCTGATGGCTTTCCAGCCTTGAGCGTTTGACCTGGTACAGAGCATATAGCCGCTGCCCAGTGGATATTTGGTGCATTGCTTTTTTTTTTTTCCCCCCGGAAGGGGTAGTTGGCAGGGTCAGGCGCAGCTAGGAGGGAGGCTCTGCATCATCCTGGGTCAGAAACAAACCTTCTATCGCGGATGTCATATGATGACTCCTGGGTTCTCATTTGTAGTTCAGATTCTTGAGAGTTTGGACAATTGAACTTGACGAAAGGATTACAGTTGTGCTTTGTTATGTGAAGTCAATGTCTTAGGAAAGACTTTTCATTGCATATAAGAAAAATGAACTTCAGGCCAAGGGTGGAGGCAGCCCAGTCTCCTGAGGGACCAGAACCAAGAGCCGGGAAGCCTGTAGGAAGCCAGGAAGCATGCTCTTCTCTCTGTAGATTTATTGTTTCCCCCTCTGTCTTTTGCAGATGTTTGCACTGCCTCGGGGCACACAGCCCCCAACACTGCTGATCCACAGCCCAGTACAGCTTTCTGTCGGGGAAATGAGGGCAGACCAGGTGAGCCTTTCTGTCTCAGTCCCATACTTCTGTGAGAGATTCTGATCAGCCGGCTCAGGCACGGGGATGCTCTTCACTCAGTATTCTATGTGATATCAGGCGGAGGTAACAGGCTTTATGGAATTGATGTTCTATTTTTCAAAGAAAAATGTGCATTATATACTTACAGGGTGGGGCAAAAGTAGGTTTACAGTTGTTCCTATGGAAAATAATACAGCCCTAGCGTTTGGCTCAGTGTGGCTCAGTGGTTGAGTATCGACCTCTGACCAGAAGGTCAAGGTTCAATTCCCAGTCAGGGCATATGCCATGGTTTCAGGCTTGAGCCCCAGTGTGGGGCGTGCAGGAGGCAGCCGATCAATGATTCTCTCTCATCATTGATGTTTCTATCTCTCTCTCCTTCTCCCTTCCTCTCTGAAATCAATAAAAACATATTACAATAATAATAATAATAATATAAGAATAATACAAGGATAAACTGTGTTTCACGTATTCACAACTGTAAACCTACTGTGCTCGCCCTGCATGTAGCCCACGCTGGTGGAACTCGTGCTATGCTGTTGGGCTCTGTGGTCTCAGAAGTGTTGGAGGTCTCCTTCCCTGAAGGGTGGGGAGTAGGGACTGACAGGCCTCCCGGGTCGGTCCCATCTCTCTGGGCACCTAGGCCACTTCTCCTGATGTCTGCTGTAAGAGGAGTCTGAATCTGCCCAGCGTGCCTCGCAGCTGGATCTGCTGGGCCCAGCCTCTTCTCCAAGCCCTTCCAGTTAGCGAAGGGTCAAGAGTCTAACATGGAGTAAATAATGTGCAGGAATCCAGTGGTGTCAGAGGAGCCAGACTGAAGTCAGGCAGTGACACTAGGACTTTAATGACAACCAGGAACACGAGGCGTTGCAGCTGCCCGGGGAGCAGCTGGTGGGCTCCCGGGGAGGCCGTGGCAGCAGGGTCCCAGCTGGGAGAGGGGCGCCAGGGCAGGTGGCAGTGACCCCGTCCTGGCGGGCTGTTTCTTCTTCTTTTATTTTTATTGATGTCAGAGAGGAAGGGGAGGGAGAGAGAGAGAGAAACATCAGTGATGACAGAGAATCATGGATCGGCTGCCTCCTGCACGCCCCACACTGAGGATTGAGCCCGCAACCCGGGCATGTGCCCTGACCAGGAATGGAACCGTGACCTCCTGGTTCATAGGTCGATGCTCAACCACTGAGCCACGCCAGCTGGGCCCCAGCAGTCTGTTTCATTCTCCTTAATAGGTTGTCACATGGATTGAAAAACGTACGTCTAAATCTATTTCTGGCTTCTAAATGTGTGAAGGAAACACGTAACTTTATTTTTTCATTTTTGTCGAGTTAAAGACAGAGACAGATGCCCTAAAAATGTATGCATTCCATAAGGAGTTCCTGTTCTTTGGCTGTGCATCTTGGGAAGCAAAAATCAAGGACAAATAGGTCACCCCTCTAAGTTTCCCGTAGGACTGTGGCAATAAAAAGGCTGGAGTCAGCACTGGTAACTAATGGAGATGAGGGAGATAAACCCAGAGAAGATGTTCACATTTTTTTTAAAAGAACTTTTAAAGGGAAAACAATGAAGTAAGCGTTGATGTAACATAAATATGATGTTAATTGTTAAATGTCAAAAGTACTGCAGATATAAATAACTGTTTAAAATAGAAACCATGTGAACACTTGTACAAATTCCCTCCCCAGAGGTGTTTGGAAATCTTCAAAGCCTAATATCCTTTTGTGAATGATCAGTCAGAGTACATTGGGAATGAAGGAAATCTGAAAAAAATAAGAACACATTACCAATCCCAGATATATTCCTGGGAGGGGGTGTTAGGATACATTTAACTTCAACTCTAGTGAATCAAAGAGATATCAAAGAACATCTTATAAAACAAAATACTGTGGACATTATTTCTTAAAAATATATTTTTGAGCCCGGCCTGTGTGGCTCAGCGGTTGAGGGTGGACCCATGAACCAGGAGGTCATGGCTCAATCCCCAGTGTGGGACATGGGAGAGGCAGCTGATCAGTGCTTCTCTCTCATCATTGATGTTTCTATCTCTCTTCCCTCCTCCCTTCCTCTCTCTGAAATCAATAGAAACATTTTGAACGCATCCTATTTTCCAAGCCTTGTGCCAGGCATGGGGGATATGCTGGTAAATAAGATGGATGCTGTCCCCACACAGCTGTCCCTGCCCACATAGCTACATGGGACCCAAGAGGTTAGTCAAGACGTTTATTTTACAAATGAGGAAACTGAGGCCCAAAATGTCACAGAAGGGAAACTGACTATGTTCTTGGCCTTTCCATTTTTGCAGTCTAAAAGAAGCATCTCTTATCTTATAGATCCTTCAAAAATTCTCAAATTGTATCCCATATAACAAATGTAGCTATTAATCCATTTCAAAAATACTCTTTATATAGGTTTTCAATATTCCTATGCATTTCTGGAAATAAAACAGGAAATCAAGTGAAAAAATAGCAAGGTCCAATTTTCAATCTCTAATCCAGTGGGGTTTTTTTTTTTAGAAAGTGTTAGCCATATGATTCCTGTTACCATCAAAAACAATCATAGTGTGTGACACAGACCATCTGTTTAGGATATGGCAGACACACTTGGAAAATCCAGAATAATGAGATCTCAAATCCATCATTTGTTAGAGACGTTATTGGTCCAAGAAGATGCCCTTTGGGTCCTCTGTGCTGAGGCGTCATTAGATGGACCAGCCAGACCTCACACCTACCTGTGCTCTACATCTCACGTCATAACTGCGTGTCCCTTGGCTGGCTGACCTGGGGTTGTACTGTGCTGTTGGCACAGTGCTGGCCGCCCACAAGGGTGTGGTGACAATTGCTGAAGTAAATGCCATACAGCATTCTGAGCAATTCAAAAGAGGGATGCTGGCCAGCTACCCCAAGTCATGGCACACCCACAGGTACTGCTCCTTTTGTCATATACTCTTCATATGGCAATAGAAAGGGCTTCCTCGGGGACATTTGAATGTCGCTGTGTGTTTCATTCCATTTGTTATTCACTCTACCTTTTCTATTATTTTCAGAATATTAACCTGGCACTAAACGGGGCCTATCAGCAATTTAATAATTATACGTATGTCACCATGCTTGAAAAGGGAAGTATGTGGGTCTCTAGAGGTTTCCTGTCTGTTAATCTCTGACAAAAATGAATTTGGTTATGATTTCCTATCTGAATGGGAATCATTTGGCCATGGACTCAGATATGTTGGAAACACATGTTTGAGAACCTGTTTGGCTAGATGACTTGAATTGAAGCCTCAAAATTTAAAAAAAAAGAAAGAAAGAAAAGAAAAGCACAACTAAACACAAGCTCATTAAGGCAAAGAGCCGGTGGCATTGGAGCTGTCAGGGATGGCGTGACCTAAACCATCACAGATTGGTTTCTGTACAGTTCTCTTTATTTCTCTTCCTCTTTTTCTTCCTTTCTTTTTTTTAAATAACAGGTTAATTGAGATGTAATTCACATACCAAAAGTTTACCTTTTCAACATGTGCAATTCAGTGTTTTTCGTATATTCACAAAGCTGTACCTCAGTACACATTCCACAGCATGTTCATGACCCCAGAAAGAAACCCATTAGCAGTCATTCCCCATTTCCCTCCCAGAGCCCCTGGCAACTACTGATCTCCTTCCTGTCTCTGTGGATTTGCCTGTTCTGGACCCTTTATGTAAATTGAATCATGCATATGTGTGCTTTATGTCTGACTTCTTTCACACAGCATACTTTCAAGGTTCATCCATCTCCATTAATATTCTAGTGTGTGTGTGTGTGTGTGTGTGTGTGTGTGTGTGTGTGTGTGTGTATTACATTTTGTTTATCCATTCATCAGTTGATGGACACTTGGGGTCTTTCTCCTTTGTAGCTGTTATGAATAATGCAGCTATGAATATTCATGTGCAGATTTTGTGTGGAGTGTGTTTTCCAGTCTCTTGGATGGATATTGATGACGAGAATTGCTAGGTCAGATGGTACTCTATGTTTTACTTTTTGAGGAACTGAAACTGCCTTCTGAAGCAACTGTGTCATTTTCATTTCCACCAACAAAGAATAGGGGTTACATTCCTTTACCTCCTTGTCCACTTTGTCCACATTTTTTATGATAGGCCATCCTAGTGGGTGTGAAGTGGTATCTCATTGTTTTGATTTGCATTTTTTCTAATGATTAATGATGTTGAGCATCTTTCATGTGATTGTTGGTCATTGGTATATCTTCTTTAAAGAAATATTTATTCAAGTCTTTTGCTTATCTTTAAATGGATTATTTTTCTTTTTATTATTGAATTTTAAGAATTCGTTATATATTCCGATACAGGTCCCTTATCAGATATGTGATTTACAAATGTTGTGTCCCATTCTACAGGTTGTTTTTCCACTTTTTTGAAGTGAAGCACAGAAGTTTTGAATTTTGATGATGTCTATCTTTTGTTTTTATTGCTTGTGTATCTGGTGACATGTCTAAGAAACCATTGCCTAATCAAAGATTTATTCCTATGTTTTCTTCTAAGGGTTTTGTAATTTTTAACTCATCTATTTAGATCTTTGATCCATTTTGAAGTAATTATTCTATATGATGCAAGGTCAGGACCCAACTTCATTCTTTTGCATGGAGATAGCTAGTTGTCCCCTTGAATTATATTGGCTGGCTCCCTTATAGAAAATCAATTGACCATAAAAGTGAGAGTTTGTTTCTGGACTTGTAATTCTATTTCATCGATCTGCATGTCTATCCTTATGCCACTACCACCACACTGTCTCAATTACTGTTGCTTTGTAGTAAGTTTTGAAATAGGGAAGTGTGAGACAATTTCTGCAAAAAAAAAAAAGCCAGCTGGGATTTTGATGTGTATTACATCCAATCTGTAGATAAATTTGGGGAATACCACCATTTTAACAATATTAAGTTTTCCAATTCATGAACCTGGGGTGTCTTTTCATTTATTTAGGTCTTGTTTAATGTATTTCAATGATGTCTTAGAGTTTTCAGTGTAAAATCTTTTACTTATTTTGTTACATTTATTTCTATTTTACTCCTTTTGATGCTGCTATAAATGAAATTGTTTCTTAGCTTCAATTTCACATTGTTTATTACTAATATAGAGAAATATATTGATATCTATATATTGATCTTGTATTCTGCAATCTTCAACATTATTTATCCTATTATTTTTAATGGATTCCTTAAGATTTTCTATATACTAGATCAAGTAAAGATAGCTTTGCTTTTTCCTTTTCAATCTGGATGCCTTCTATTTCTTTTTCTTGCCCAGTTGCTCTGTCTAGAGCCTACAGTACAATGTTGAATGGAGGTGACAAGAGTGGATGTTCCCTGTCTTTTTCCTAACTTTAAGGGGAAAGCATCTAGTATTTCTCCATCATGTATGATGTTGTGGGCTTTTTGTAGGATGACTTTTATCAGGTTGAGGGAGTCCCCTGTATAATTATCTTTGAATGCCATGGATGGGCAGGGCTGAATTATGAAATCTAATGCGATCTGAAAGCTCTTTTAGGACTTCATGTCCTTTTCAATATTGTAATAGGATGTGGAAACAATGCCCACTAAAGACAGGTTGTCTATTTTTTCCTCTGGGAAAGGCTGCATGTGGCAGAAGCAACTTTTCTATCTCTTTTCCTACCCCCCGCCCCCAAGCATTCTTCCTTATCTCCCACCAATGAGAACAAACAAATGATTGTGGTAGATAAATCTAATAGCTTCTTTCCATACTGTCCTTATGGTTGTAGGACGCAGTACATTTGCCCATAAATTCCAATAGCACGTATGCTAGGAATGTTAGATAAAAGCTGCAGAAAGTCAGAAAAGGTGTCAACTCCCGAAAACCCTCTCAGCAGCCTTCTTAGAAGAGAGTACATTCTCAGATCCCGCTGAGAGCATAGCTCTCCCGGAAGCTGGGAAATGCGGACTGGTCTGCGTCCAGGGGGAAACTGCTGATTTGGTGGTGATGGTGGTGACGATGAAGACGACAGTGACGCAGCACTATCAGTTGTACAGCATAAGCACTGACAGGTGCTAGGTGGTACCTTTAAGAAGATAAGGCCCAAGAGCCAATGCAGGACCGGCCAGCCAGGCAAAATAGTCCCAGCCAGGGACGCGCAGTCCGGCACAATGAGCTGCATGGCTTTGGCGACTGTTCTCCAGGCCTCTGTTTCCGGTGGCCAGTGCCCATCTCCCACTCGCAGCTCCTAGCCCTTTGCCGCTAGCTCTGTGCAACGCCGAGGGACCAGGAGGTGCCGACTGTGGCTGCCACATGGATCTTCCCTTTGTGGCAAAGGAGAAACACCACCTGCCTCCTGGTTCCCGGACCTGCCCCTGCACACACTTCAGCTCTGATTCTCCTCTGCCTTGCATTATTTATGTACGACAATCACAGTCAGGAAAGCAAACCATCACATTGAAAGGGTCGTTAAGGTCCACCTCATTGCTTTCAGAGCCAAGGGACACATGGGTTGCTATGAGTCTTAGCAAGAGCAGTTTTGCTCTTTGAATGGAGAACCAGCATTGCCACCTTTACTAGAAGAGATTATTCTTTGCTTATTTCAATTCCTCCAAGTCCCAGCCTTTTAGGCAAGAATTATAGGGATCAAGAGAACTTTAAAGGAACAAAGAATCCTCTGCTTTTAAGCGAAACTATAACCTAGTCACAGAGTAAGTTATAAGTTAGGTAATTGGGTGTTATCTCCTTTCTCTACAGGTGACATCATTTATCCCTGTCTAATACCTTCTGCTTAGAGGAAGAGGGGGAAGGAAGAACGGTGGGGAAAAAAGGGATGGGTACATGAAAACTCACAACAGTGCTATCCATTTTGGGGGGCTCCTTGGGGAGTGTGGGTGTTTCTCATGAACTGCCATTGAGTGCCGTGAGAGATGCATTTATAGTGCTCCGTGCTGGCCTGCAGAGCCCAAGAGCTTTTAGAGACTGATGGTAAGAACTAAGGACCTGCCCTCGCTGGTTTGGCTCAGTGGATAGAGTGTCAGGCTGTGGACTGAAGGGTCCCAGGTTCGATTCCAGTCAAGGGCACATGCCCAGGTTGTGGGTTCGATCCCCAGTGTGGGGCATGCAGGAGGCATCCAATCAATGATTCTTTCTCATCATTGATGTTTCTCTTTCTCTCCCTTCCTCTCTGAAATCAATAAAAATATATTTTAAAACAAACAAAAGAACTAAGGGACTGCCTGGGACACCTGGCCACAGGTGGAGAATTGGTGGACAAAAGGAGATGAGACTGGATACGTAATTTGGGCCACACTGAGTACACAATGAAACGAAGCAGTGGACAGGCAGGATGCTTCTGCCAACACCTCGATGCATTATCCTCTGATAAGCTGTGAGCAAGGAGAGAGCCGCTCATGTCTTGGGCTTCCGGCCCGGCTCTGGATCCTGGGCTTCCGGCCCTGTTCTCTGATAAGACAGCATCTCTCGGAGGCGGGGCCTCCCTTAGGATCCCAGGAGGGCACTGTTCCACTCAGCTACTTGGTAATAAAATTTAAGTCTCAATTTTCAGACAGTTTAAAGAAAGGACAGTAGCTAATTTCATAGTAAAAGCCTGAAAGACAGAAACAATTAAGATGATCATGAAATTCTAAAAACCATTTCCGAGATTGAATCATAGAAATGTAGGCTAAGAACTTAATAGCGATCATAGTGATGAGGCTAAAGAAGACTGAACTGCAACCAGAGACTTCATTCGATTCCTCCCCCCACCCCCGCTCCCCCCGCACCCCTACCCCATGGCTGTCCTGAGAGAAACAAAGCTGGAGCTTAAGGGAAACATCAAAACTTGTTTTTGAAAAATGTGTCATCTTATTCTTTTCCAGAGAATTTGTATCTGGGGGTTTATTCTGGGTAAATTTCCCCAGAGAAACATTACGTTCTCTTA